TTTTGCCGAGTGAAGTAAGAATCGAGATACGAAATTTTTGTCACACACACACACAATCTTGATTTACTGTTAAAAAACCAGTTTTTCGCACTTATAAGCTTGTAACTCAGTTGACCATATACCGAGTTAAGACCTTTCGAATTAATGAATTAAGAGATCTGTGTGTATTTTCTGTGTTAATTTTTTTCGTATATTTTTAAATTTGGCAAAGTTTTCACGCACTATTTTATAAAGAAACTATATTACTCCTGAATTGATGCAAAATTAACATTTAATATATAGTGATTTTTACTTTAAAAAATGGGGGTAAAGTTATTCAACCTTTCATAAGAAAAAGAATATTTTTGGCTATACAACTCGAAAATTTTTGCTTAACCTTTTTTTTAATTCAGCTTTCACCGATTTCTCCTTGTAGTGAACGCAATATTCTGAAATAATTTGTCATGAGAATTTGAATATCTCATTTAATTTTTAGCCGACTTTGTAAAAATAAACATCAGTTTTACTCGATATTAAACATACTTTTCTCTTGAATTTTTTAAACGTGTATAGATATAAACATAGACCCATCATTCGAAAGGTCTAAACTCGGTTGCGAAGCAACTCATTTAACTCATTAACAAGCTTATAAGGACACAAACGTTTGTGTAGCTATCATACCGCAAATGGTATTGCGTGTCGCATCGCATGTCGCATCGCGTATCGCATCGCTCTAATGTGCACTGCGCGCATTTCATATCGCATCGCGTATCGTATCGCATATCGCATCGCGTATCGTATCGCATATCGCATATCGCATCGCATATCGTATCGCTCTAATGTGCACCGTGCCTTAGACTATAAGTGTTAAGCTAAGTGTACACGGAGACTTGTAAACACTCAATAAAGCTCTAGGAGAGACTCACCTACACTGTTACGTGAGAGTTATTTAGCGAGAGTTTTTCGCCGTGTTCACAGTCCATTGCAACTAGATCGAAAATTCTACGCCAGCTTTACGCTCTATTTGGCAAGTTAAATAGAGCTTTTGCTCTACGGAGACGTATGGTAAAGTCTTGCAAAAGAACTTCAAATGGCTATGACATTAAAACGTGCTAAATTAAGTTGGCGTAAAGAAAAAATTTGAGCGAGTCAAGATCTGATTTGTGGGATGTTAAAATTCGGCAAGTATGAATTTTAAACCACATCAGCGAACAGGTGGATGCTGTCAAATCGACGTAGGGTTGGCGGTCCGTGGATGGCGTCAGCTTTATTTTCTACATCGTGACTTTGATATACATATGTAAAATGTAGGTTGCCCCATCGAAAATGTTTTACTTTGGAAATTTCATGACCCTATCCCCTTAATTTATTCGTTTTTGAGAAATATTATTGCCTGTTTTTATAAATTTTTTAAAGGTCATTTAGAGGTCGCGACCTGTCGATTTACGTCAGAAAACATGGTTTTGTAGGTTTACGAGTTTTTGGATGACTATTTTTGACTCGACTTCAAAGATCGAATATGATCTGAGAATAGGATATACATGCCTTTAAAATAGTTTATAATAACAGTGTACGGCAATATCAACTTTTTATCTGGGTATTGGACCAAAACAATTTTTTTTAAGAGATTAAATCATAGGTGCAAAAGTGATTTCTCCGTTTTTCGAAGTTAGCCTCCTCCGAAATCGAGATATGGGCCATTCAAGTTCGAAATAGGACCTTTGGTAAAAAATTATATTTATTTATTGCATGTAAATAACCAAAAACCTAAAGATACAGGCGTAGTCCTCCTTTTGCTCTTATATAAATGGTATATAACTTTTTTGTGCAAACTTATATTACAGGTGCTATAAGGGGTCAAATTTCAGGTCTTCGAAAAAAAAATTCCTTATATTTCAAACAATTTTTATTTATAACGTTGTAAAGGTGATTAAACCCCCTTTCTCCCGATATGCATATTTGTATACTTCGTTTATAAAAATTTTAGAAAAAAACACATTTAAATGAAAAAATACATTACGTTACAATACATAAAAAAAAAATTTCAAACAAAAAAATTACTAACCGCTTTTTAGATGGTTGATATTGTTGTAAACGCGATCAAACCCCCTTTCTTGTGATATGCATATTTGCATACTTCTATACATAGTATAAAGGAAAGTCGAGATTTTTTGTACGCGGTAATCTCGAAAACTACTGAACGGATTTTGAGGAGTTTTTCTGTAATATACTCTGTATCGATAGTAGAGGGATCTTTTTACTTAGAATTTTAATAGGGTTACCACCTGTCTAAAAAACTATAAGATCCGCACCGTTCATTGGATTACAAAAGATGAGGTGTCAATTGAAAGGGATTGGCCTCTAGAAAAGCACTAATATTTTTTTTTTTATAGGGTTGCCACCTGTTAATAAAATTACCATATTCAATCATAATAAGCGTAGGCATCAGTTCTGTACCGTCACTGTCAAACGAAAAGACTTAGCCTCTGGATGTGTAATAATGTATTATTTTTCTGAGTAGGATTGCCACCTGTTTGAAAACTATAAGGTCTTTACCATTCGTTGGATAAAAAAAATAAGATACCAAATGAAAGTGCATGGCCTTCGCATGTACAAAAACTTAAAGTTTTATAGTAGGGTTGCCACCTATTTAAAATTACTATCTTCTATACATAGTGTAAGGGAAAGGCGAGATATTTTAACCACGCTACTGAACGGATTTAGACAAAACACAGACAATATTTTTTATGTATACAATAAACGAAGTACATGATGACATATGATTTCTTTCTCCAAATACGTAAATTTGCATACATATGCATACATTCAGCGCGTGGCAAAGCCTCGCGCATCCGTGGCCGGCTAACCGTATATAAAAATAATAAAAAAAAACACATTTACAGAAAAAAATACCTTTATTTTATAAAAAAACATATTCTAAACAAAAAAAATAAACAAACCGATTTTTAAAAAATGAGTATCGTTGTAAAGGCGGTTAAACCCCTTTCTTCCGAAATGCATATTTATAAACTTCGTTTATAAAAATTTGTGAAAAACCACATTTAAAGGAAAAAAAAAATTGTTTACGAACCGATTTTGAAAAAATTGGTACCGTTGCAAAGGGAATTAGACCCCCTTTCTTCTGATATGCATATTTGTATACTTTTTATATAAAAATTGGAGAAAGACACTTAAAAGGAAAAAATATCAATTTTTTCGTATAAAAAATATTTTAAACAAAAAAATTACTAATTAGTAACACAATTGAATACTTTGTTTAAATAAAGCAGAAAATTACCTTTAAGTTTTATATACATACATATAACCTGTAATGTAAAAAACCAAAAACCATGGTGTTTTTATATTTTTGTATGCCTTAGACTTCTGTTACATATACTTTTGCTTTATTTTAACAGGGCTGTGGGGGACAAGGAAGATTTAACGCTTAAAACACTATTAATTATTTATTTTGTTTATATACGTTATTTAATTAGATTACAATTTAGTATTTTTTATGTAATTTTTTTTATAATAAAAAGTTCGAATTTTTCCTTTTAAGTGTTTTTTCTCAAATTGTTATATACGAAGTATAAAAATATGCACATTAGACGAAAGGGGGTTTAATCGCCTTGGCAACGATGTTAATTCTTAAAAATTCGGTGAGTAATTTTTTTGTTTAAAATATTTTTTGATAAGAAAAAAGATGATTTTTCCTTTTAAGTGTTTTTTCTCAAATTTTTATTCACGAAGTATACAAGTATGCATATCAAAGTAAAGGGGGTTTAATCGCATTTACAACTATACCAATTTGTTGAGAATCGGTTACTAATTTTTTCGTTTAAAATATTTTTTTATACAAAAAAATGTATTTTTTCCTTTAAATGTGTTTTTTCTCAAAGTTTTATATACGAAGTAAACAAATGTGCATTGCACAAGAAAGGGGGTTAAATCACCTTTACAACGATATGAATATTTTAAAAATCAGTTCAAAATTTTCTGAAATATTAAGTTTTAAATTTTTCGAGGGTCTGACTTTTGACTCGTTATAGCAATAATATAAGCTTTCACAAAAAAAGTTATATACCATATAAATAAGAGCAAATGGCAGACCACGTCTGTATTTTTACTTTTTTGCTTTTTACATGCAATAATTAAAAATACTTTTTTAACAAAGGTCCAACTTCGAACTTCGAAAGCCCATATCTCGATATTGAAGGCTAACTTCGAAAAACGGAGAAATTAATTTTTTTACTTATGAATCAATCTCTTAAAAAAGTTGGTTTGGTCCAATACCCAGCCGAGTGCTCTACAGTGTAATCTTGTCTTGTTCGGATTTTTTATCGGTTAAAATAAAAAAAAAAACTCATATTTCTCTTAATTTTTTTTTTTTAATTTTAACCATCGATAACTTCCACTGTTTCAAAATATGTAGTACTGTCTAAAATTAAATTTTTTTCTAAATAAACTGATAGCTCATTTATTGCAATCGCATAAAAATGGTCGAAGTAAGTCGACTTTTCTGAAATACGGCCTTGAATTAATATTGTGTATGTACCGGACTTTCAGATTTTTTGAGCAGTGTGGCTAAGGAATTCTTCAATATTTATTCAAAATTGATATATACAATCGCTCTTCAGCAAAAAATTTGGTTTTCCAAAAATTTTAGGAAAATGGGGGTGACACCGCCCACTTATAACATATACATACGTGAATCTCAAAAACTACTTAACCGATCTCAACGAAATTTGGCATACACATTGTGATGGTCAAAATTTAAAAAATTAATAGAATTAGGGTTTTATTTTTTTTATTTTACCCGATAAAAAATCCCAACAGGCCAAGTCCGAAAATAGATTATTATCAGGGCTGTTGTAGAATCTGACCTTTATCGTAATCGGAATTGAAACCGATGAAAAATTCCCATTGGTGTCTTGCATTCCGATATTATCGGTTTTATGTTCGAATCGGAAATAAAGTCGGTTTTTTGTGTCATAGGAACCAATTTTATCGGTTTGCTTATCGGAAACAAACCAAGCAGTACATCGCTGTCAGAATTGTATTTTCGTTTTGTTATTTCGCATTCTGCAGGTTCTTATTTTGCTTTATGTGAGTATATTAATCAATAATTCATAGAAACATTAATTTTAAATTTTAATATTAGGGGAAAACACAAGAATAGCGTTCAAAATTCCATAATCGTGGAGTTTATGGAAAATAACCCCGACATCGCTAAGGGCTACACAAAACGAGATAAGGCACTCGTTAACGCTCTTTGGCAAGAACTGTCAAATTCTTTAAATAGCGCAGGCCCACCCCAAAAGGACGCTAATGGGTGGAAGAAGGTATATTGCATATTGTAGCCCCAATGAAAGTTCTACTATTTTATTGTTTTTAGGCATGGACTGAATGGAAAAGTGAGATAAGAAAAAAATTATCACACAACAAAAATGAAGCTCGAGCGACTGGTGGTGGGCCCTTCACTAAACATCAACTGACGCAATTGGAAGAATCAATCGTCCGTATATGTGGAATTGAACGTTCAGTTTATGGTGTTACAGGCGTTGCAATTGGTCACGTCGAACCTTCAGATGACCTTATCGAAGAAGTACTCGATGAAACGAACAGCGATATTCCGTCAACGTCATCAAAGCGACAAATGGAGCCTTCCAGTATTGGAAGCACTCCAAAAAGGCCAAGAGTGGAGAGCACAGCAGAGAGTTTAAAAAATTTTTTGAAAGAGGACAACGAAATAAAAATGGAAATGAATGAGAAATTGGATGAGCTAATAAAAATTGGCAATGAAAACGCAAAAAGTTTTACACATATTCATCGAGCAGTCGAAGACATGGTAGAATGTTGTACGCAAATATTAACCGTCATGGAAGAAAAGAATCAAATAGAAAAACAGCGACTAGACCTCAGCATCAAAAAATTTGATTTCCAAAGACAACTAAATGGTTATAACTAGGGTTGTGTGCTTAATTTTTTAGTTAAAAATTTAATAACTTACCGAATTACTTTTAATTTTTCACTAATCAAAACGGAATATAATCCTTTATCACAAACGAATTTATTCGAATTCGATTGGAGTGTATTCATAGTCAAAATTAAGTTGATGCTTAAAGTTAGTTGCAGCTTTTTGGCTTAAATTTTAATGGGTTATCGGTCAAAAGAGCTACATCTAACTTTAAATATCTACTTAATTTTGAATATTACTGCGCCCCATTGATAATATTTTCATTATTCAAATACTTTAAATACCTTATTTTGTTTTAAATAGTTCCTTTTCCCAGCTTTTCATATTTTTTGCATTTTAAACATATGTACATATATATGTATGTACCTACAAGCATAGGCAGTGGTTCGCAGCCAAAATGATAAACCCGACAAAATGTTTATTTTGTTAATATTCACTAAGTTTTTCTTAGCAGCTGAACTTGCACCTTATTACTACACTTTAATTTAATGCAAGACTGCATACCTGACATATTTCTAAAACATGTGATCAAATTTGCGACTTTTCCATTTTTTGTACAAAGTTTTGAATGTTGGTTATTATGGTTTTTGACGTTGTACTATGTACATAAAAAATTTAGTGAATATTAACAAAATAAACATTTTGTCGGGTTTATCATTTTGGCTGTGAGCTTCTGTACATATCGCACACCGTCTTCAAGAGAGACACAACTCAAAATTACACGTTCGTCAGAAAAGGCGAAAAACTATTTCTTAGCACATGCTAATCATATGGGCAAGGAGGACTTTACCTTAGGTTTTTCAACAAATTATAACAAAAATTTGCTACAGCTTTTGCTGAAAGGTAAATAAAAGCTCTGTGTACATTTTTAGTGCATTATTTCGAAAATGCCAAATTTTGAGTTGTGTCACTTTTGAAGATCGTGTGCGATATGTATGTATGTACATATATAGTTTATAATTTGAAAATTTAGCAACGGGGTGTATTATTCAAGTGATGATTGGCTTTATCGCAATCTTGGGTAAATGAATAATTAATTGACTGAAGAATTCATTTTTCCCGAATAAAGACAGCTTATTTATTAGTGATCTCAATTTAAATAATAAGAGTATTTAAACGTTGTAAACCGTACCTTGCGTTCTTAGTATAAGAAAAAATTTAAGAGTTTTTATTGTTTATGTACATATACTCGTACATACATACAATGTACAGCTTTGGTCAAAGATTTAGAACCAAAATTCAAAATAATATTGTTTGGAACTTACGTTTATTTATTTTTTTTTTAATAATATTCATTTAAAATCTAAATAAATCTATAACAAAAACCACATAAATAAAAGTTAATAGGTGTTGAGCATTTTCTTCCATATAAAAGTAGATTTTGTTCAAGCATTATATGGAAGAAAATGCTCAACACTTTTGGCAAAAAAAAATTTAGTTCTTAGGGACTAGAATTTGGCACTTTATAAGACTAATTATAATAAGAATTTAATGGGCTACAAGACTGCGTACCCAAAAATTGTCTAAAAATTCTGATTATAAAGTTTGTAATTTTTACTTTTTTTTTAAGTTTGATAAAATTTTTGTGAAACTTCCGCAAGCGTTTAATCTTTTATTGATGTGCTTTTTGTTATAGATTTATTTACATTTTAAATGAATATTATTAAAAATAAATAATTAAACGTAAGTTCCAAACAATATTATTTTGAATTTTGGTGCTAAATCTTTGACCACAGCTTTATGTATAAACACACGTGATACTTATGTAAGTATATATATTTGTAACATCTCAGGTACTTTGAAGTTAACATTTGAAATAAACAGATAATTTAGTTTCAATAACCAATTTTTGAAAAATTATTGCAAATTATTGGCTATTTCGTCTCTTATTCTCTTCCCTTCACTTTGTAGCGATGGATTCGATGGTTGTACAACATTGTCCACAGCAGGTTCATTTGGTTGGAGAGATTAATGTTGTAGCTTCTGCAGATATTGTGCAATGCACAGCACACGTTGACAATCTGTATTACTTTTTCCGGGGAATAGTGCAACGTCCCCAATAAACATCGAAAACGGCTTTTTAATACACCTACATATGTACGCATATTGTTAATTTTAATTCAATATCTTGGATTTGTAAATAAACAAACGCACCTATAGTACGCTCCACAATATTTCGAGCTGAAGAGTGCGCCATGTTGAACTTGTACTCTTTAGAGTTGTGCAATGCGTCTCTATATGGTGTCAAAAGGAAGGGCTCAATGCCATATCCACAATCTCCTAAAAGTCTTGATGCTCGATCGCCCGATTCGTACTCCCTAAGGAAACTTTGCCGTGCGTCATTAATATTCCAGATGAATGCATCGTGGCTGGAGCCTGGATACCGAGCATCTACCGCACGTATCTTCATAGCGCTGTCGCATATCTTTAGACGAAAGTAGAAACAAGTTGGGGGAAAACACGTTAAGCAAAATAGTTATTACTTACAATCATAGCATTCATGCTAAAATATCCTTTGCGATTAAAAAATAAATGCTCGTCCACACTAGGCTTTATAATTTTAATGTGTGTCCCATCGATGCAGCCAATGATAGAGGGAATCTTAAATTTGCTGTAGAAATAATTTCTCGATTTAAGCTTCTCATTGCTATCCATTGTAAGCTTCACCCAACGAGGGCAAATTAAACGTTCCATAATTTTCAGCACTTCACTCAGAACTAGTGACACTGTGCTTCTACCTAGGCTTATGCCAGAGTCATTCCCAACCGACCGCTGATAAGAACCTTCTGCTAGAAATCGCAAGACTGCCGCTAGCTTTAGCAATGGTGGAATGCTAGATGCAGGCAAGTGGGGTTTTACGATATCTAGCACCATAATGAATGCGTCTTTGTTCAGGCGATATTGTGCAATGAATCTGTATGATAATTGAGGCGTTACTAAAATTGTCGGGCTTAAAAAGGATATGTACTTACGCTGACTCTGGCAGCTCCAACGGATTGCTGCGGTCTCTTAAAATTTTCCGTTTCACCTTCTCAGAAACTTCTTCCTGCATCAATAAAAAAGCTGCTACAGCTGCGGCCATTGCTTTTTATTTAATTTTCACTTTTATTTAATTTTTTCAACAACTTTGTCAAAATCTTCACAAATGCAAATTGAAAAGAATTGAACTTAGCAAAACAGCTGATTCGAATATGGGTTTTGTGTATGTTCGAAAAGAGCCAAATCCAATTAGATTCTGTGACACCTTCTAAAATCGGAATTGGTTTGGAATTCCGACAATGGAGCAAATCCGGCTTGGTTTCCACAACAGCCCTGTATATGCCATTTTAAAGGCCTATGTATCCAAAAGTAGTCATTCAAAAACTCATAAATCTACAAATTCGTATTCTTTGACCTAAATCGACAGGTCGCGACCTCTAACTGACCTTTAAAAAATCTATAAAAATAGGCGATAATATTTCTCATAAAAACGAATAAAATTAGGGGGTAGGGTCTTGAAATTTCCAAAAAAAATCATTTTCGATGGGCACCCTAAGGTACATACAAGAAAGGCGGGCCTCCATAGCATACGTATCCGTATGCGTGCGTTTGACATTTACGCTTAGAAATTAAAATTCTTAAAATTTTTTTACATTTCCATCCGTTGCTATGTAGGTGCTTTCATAAAAATTTGTATATTAAATTTTTTCTGTGAAACGCACGCTTACGTATATGCATGCTGTGGGGATCCGCCTTAACTCTAGGGGAAAAGTAACAATCGTCTACCGTATATCGATGACTGAGTGGAAGATCGACCTATCTCGGCAGCCAGTTCGAAATCGCCCTATCTCAGAAAATTTTTGAACAATGCTCTATCTCAGAAAACCTTTCAAGAATGCCCTACTTCAGAATTTGATTGAAAAACGCCCTATCTCGGAATTTAGTTGAAGAGCGCCCTATCTCAGCTACCGAATCAAAATCGCCCTATTTCAGCTTATTTTCAATGTATTTTCATTTGAGATAGCGGGTTTTTGAACCGAATTCTGAGATAGGGCGTTATTCAACCAAATTCTTAGATATAGTGTTTTTCAATAAAATTCCGAAAAAGGGCGTTTTTCAATCAAATTCTGAAGTAGGGCGTTCTTGAAAAGTTTTCTGAGATAGGGCGTTTTTGAACTGGCTGCCGAGATAGGTCGATCTTCCACCAGCCATCGATATACAGCCTGTAGAGTACATGATAGAGAAAAGCTAAGATTTCTCTATTCTAACTCTAGCTGGGTGATTATCTCCTAGAGTTGCTGTACCGAGTAAACTTAATTGAGAGGGGAAATTTTTATATTTTAGTTTAACTCTGGAGAGATTTTTGTGCCGTGTACGCTTAGCTTTATGCTTGCGATGAACGTACGACGACTGAACGCGAATGAGGCACCGGATAAAGATTTTTATTACGAACAGTTGCAATACTTACCAGGATATACGTATATATCTAGTAGATTCCAAATTCCGCGCCAGACATTTACAGCTCCAAAAAACATGAGGAAATAGAACATGTCACATATAACCAATTTTAAAATACCGTCCATTTTTTTGCAAACGCAACGTATAATGGGTTTGATTACGAATGTGATGAATACAGTTATGTAGCCGAGCATCTAAAAAAGAAAGTTTTATCAATATGTGTGTATAAAAATAACTACAGAAACATAAGTATGTGTGTATATATGGTTCAAATATCCTTGAACATACAAGTTTATTTCCAACAAACATACGGGATATTGCCGCCCCGCATAGGAGTATTTGCATAGTAAAACCGATCAAAAGTATTTTATGTGTTTTTTTACTAAGTAATGAAATAAAACCTCAAACGATGTAATGATGGGTTTTGCGACATTCCTACTTGTAATTTAGTATTTTGACGTGTACCAAACTCGACGTCAAACAGTCCGGACGTGTAAATCAATTTGCCCTGAGGACGGTTACCGAAGCGTAACCGAAATATATCGGAAACAAAAGACTAAAAACCTTGTGTTTTCGTAAATTTTTCTAAATTGACTTCGAGCCGCCAAAATACTAAACTAAAGGCGGGTTCACCGTTCGTGTCCGGACAACTTTTTATTTGCTATCAAAACATTTTTGCCGGAAAGGGCGCTAAAGTACGGTTCACCGTTCACTTCGGCACATTTTATTTTGTTCTGAAGCAAACAGCTGATGATATTGTTGCCTACATACGATTTTGAGGGTAAATAACACATGCGATTCGGTGCAAACGCATATTAAGGAGAACGCGGCAACCCGAGTCATCAAGTAGTTCGCACAGAAACTCGAAATCAATTTAATTCGAACAAAGAGTGTTCAACAGATTTTTGTCGCGGTTTCAGTGAGACAAAGGTCGCGTTCATAAGATGTAGCTGTTTAGCTCATCTGCTACGAAACTGCTGGCAACTGTTGAACCCAACAATTACGTTTTAGAAACGGCTTGATGAATATGCTGCCAAATGAACAGCTGATAAATGTAAACAAATGAAATTGCAACAAATAGAGATAGTTGCGCCGATACTATTTAGAATTCAACACTGAGCTGCCGCCGTGTTGAAAAAATCGTTCAATGTTACAATGAATTAAACAGTGTAAAATTATATAGCAAACATCTTAAAAACATCTATTTAGAAACGTAGTATTATTGTAAAATATTTTAGTTACTTTATCACGTCAGTAATATAAAATATAAAAAATTTGTTTGCAACTGCCACCTAACAAAGCGGCGTTAAATTTAATATAAGCGGCGTAAGTCTTATCGATCAGCTGTTTAGGCTAAGCACAATACGTTGAGTTCAGGTAGCGTAAAAATTTTCCGCTGGAAAAAATGGCGGAAAGTTGCCAATGTTAGACTGAGCGTAACTACTCAACTGTGCGTTTCTAAGAGAAACAGCCAACGGTTACCCAACAGCTACGACTTATGAACGCGCCCAAAGTGGCAAAGGATCGCGTAAAATTACTAACAGAAAGTGTCCGGATACGAACGGTGAATCCGCCTTAACACCCTTATTTTGCAACTCTGTCTTTTTCAACGTCTGGTATTTTAAACAAGTTTGAAAATATTTCATTTTTTATTTAAAGAGTAGAAAAGTAGTAAAAGTGGAGTAGTAGGAAAGTATACGCTTACTCACAGACTATAAAAACCATAGCTCAATGATATTCTCATTATATTGTTTTATACCTGAGCGCACTTGTGCACAAGGGTATATTAACTTTGTTCACATAACGGTTGTTTGTAACAGCCAAAGCGAATCGAGATAGATATAGACATATACACAAATGCTCAGAATGAATAGAGAAGTCGATTAACCCATGTTTGTCTGTCCGTCCGCCCGTGTACACGATAACTCCAGCAAAAATTGAGATATCTAAACGAAATTTGGTATGTAGGTTTCCACTTATCCATCAATACCAACCTATTGAAAATGGGCGAAATCAGACAAAAACCACGCCCACATCACATATAACGGCAATTTAGAGAAATACGAAATCTTCGATAAATCAGTAAATAAATATTAAAGCTAATTTATTCAAAATTTATGCTTGCAACCATTCTTTACCAAGAAATACGTCTACGACAAAATTTTGGAAAATGGGTGTGGCACCGCCCACTTATGATCACATATATGTATCTCGGTAACCGTTTTACCAATTTGTACCAAACTCGGTAAGGTTATTGTGCTTGCCACATAAAAGAAAAATTATGAAAATTATTGAAATCGGACTAAAATTACGGCCGGTAAATTTCAGAAATGCTTTAAACTTCAATATTTCGTTATTTAAGGACGCAAATTTACTCAAAATTGATACACCCCGGCATCGGCGTAGCCAGAATGAAATTTAGGGGGGGGCTCGACCCTATTAAGCTTGCATTTCAGGGTACTATTTTATATATATGTATATAAGGAAAATTTGAAAGTTAGGGGGGCCCCCCCCTACCTGCCTACGACCATGCACCCCGGCTAACCAAGTAGCGGTTGCTTTCGGAAAGGTGAAAAACATATATTTAATACTTGCGCCGGGTATTTAATGTTCGACTTTCTTACTTGTTATCATTAATGTTAAGCATTTTTGCAAAACATTTTGTTAAACAATAATGCTTAAAATTGAAGATAAAAATAGAATAAAAGTGTTGTGTTATAACTCGTACTATGGTTTTTACAGTGTAGCAAATGAAAGCAACAAGCGCAGGTTTGTGCATTTTACAAAAATTTCGTAAAAAAACAAAGAATTTTTACGAATTTTTTTAGTAAAGCGTACGAACGCATTCGTTAAATATACTAAAGATATCATGTCTCATATTTTCGTAGTATGTACGAAAACGGTTTTGTACAGTTAACGAAAACTTTCGTGGCTAAAAATGACGAAAAATTTCGTAATATGTACGCCAGTTTTCGTTATATTTATGCAGATTTTATTTTCAGTGTACACACACTCCGATGTTCCGACCGTGACTAATTTACGTGCCCCGTGGGGAGTTATGAAGCTAGAAAGAGCGCCAGCGTGCTCCAAGCACTACAGGACATTTTTTTTTCAACTAGAAATGGCCTTGACCCCATGTACCTAATTAAGGGTTAATATAAGTCAAAAGTTAATTTTTTATCAGTGAGGTAGTAGCTTTGTTTGAAAGAAATGAAGTAATTTTAAGTGAATTTGGTAATTCCTTCTCAGTATTTATAACAATATGTTGCTATTTTTGATTATAAACTCACTATGTCCTTTTACTTTCAAGAATATTTCATTTAACATTCTTATTTCAGTATTCCACTTTTATACTCATTTTTTCTTGCAAATTACTGAAATATATTTATATTTATAACTGAATAAATGTAGTATTTTTACATACTATATTTTCTCCAACACTATATATTACGCCGATCGAAAAAATTGTACAATACTATCTAATATAGTACGGTTTGCAACCCTAGCAGGCACCGAGGTACCAACGAAATTGCAGTATTTTTTCGAAAGTCCGTAAAGTTTTGGGTAAACAGTTTTCATTTCCTCCCAAGCGTCGGTGATACTCCGCTTTAGTTCTAGGACTTGACAATTGAAATAAAAACCCATTTCATCTTGTTTGAGACACAAATCATCATCCTTTCGCCTTCGTTTGTTCACGAGAGATTTATGAGGGGTCCAAAGGTCGAACTCATTTTTACTGATTCTAGTGACGAATCCCTACCCGGTTCCATGAGATCATCTGCGCACACTTTTTCCTTTCGTAAGAGCTATTTACTGAGGCCAGTACTAACGAATTTTTAAAACAAAATTTTTTCAATCTCGGGTCGAGTAAAGTTGATACAGCTAGCAAAAAAGAATGTTCGATGGATGGATTTTAGACAACAGAATTCATATTTCTTGAAAATATTTTTACGATTATTCTACAATAAATCGATTAATAATCGAGTAATGAAACACAACTAACTAACAAAAATAATCGATTAATTTAACCAATGATTAATCGCTGCCATCTCTGCAAGAGTGTCATAATCCAAAATAAATAAAATAAAATAAAAAACTTTTTAATATACAACGCTTTTATAAATGGACTCCAAAGTAGAAAATAATATTTCTCAGTCCCACAGAATTTGTTTTTGATAACTTTTAATTTTGAAATTTTAGCAAAAGTCATTATAAACAATTAATGACATTGAAAACGAAAAACGTAGAGCGCATGCAGTACAAAGCATTCGATTTCATTGACAATAGTCAAACTACATAACATTCTACAGCGAAAGTACAAATTTGAGATCGATTTTAAGCGGTCGTTATTCATATGCCCACATACATACATATGTTACTTTTCATATCAATTCAAGTGTATTACATGCGCCCCACGCTTTTCATTTTCAATGTCATTGATTGTTTATAATGACTTTTGCTAAAATTTCAAAATCAAAAGTTACATACATACATATAGCAGCAGTTTATTTCATTTAAAGAAATGGCGTGTCGTCCATTTCCGCTGTGACGTATATAAATAGTGCATATATTTAGGCGCAATATTTAACTTCTTCTGGCGGGGCGACATCTAGAGTCTTCTAATTGTATCTCCTTGAGGTTCATATCTAGACTAGGTCGATATATAGAATTTGCCACAAATAGCTTTGCTACATTTATAGTATATGGTGGTCTGGACATACAACATTGCAAGTTGCTAAAAGCGTTGTAAAAAATATCGAGTTAAGTAAGCAGAAATGATCGCAACATGTTCTTTTATGTTGTGTACAAAATTTCGTAGCTTTACCGATGACCAGTGCCTCACTAGAACAAAATATGTATGCATTATTACAATGTGTATACATATGTGTAAACCCAAAAAATTTAAGCTGTTTTTCTCGAATTTTAGATTTTTTGGATTATAATACCCTTGCAGCAAATGCGCGATACCTTTATTTGGCTTTTTATAGTTTACTGAGTTTCATTATTTAACAAGTGCTTCTCTAAATATGTAAATGTTTTCCAAATACATAAGATGTATAGTTTACCATCATATACTACGTTTATACGCATGCATAAGTCGCTTTAATGCATTTCGCCGCGATTCAAAACATATGTATATACTGAATTTCAATTCGCTTTGAAAGAGCGAAGTGTTTTGGCTCACACTCCATTT